TGCAATCAGGATCCTAGGAGGGTCCAGGACAGAGAGAAGAAGTGGGAAAATGTTTAGAGCAGCATTATGTGTGTGTATGTGTGGGTGTGCGCATGTGTATACATGTACGTGTATGTACATGTATGTGTGTGTATGTGATTGTGAAGAACTGGAAGCAAAGTGGACAGTCATTGATGGAAAGTGGCTGAAATGTGTATGTTAGAAAGATAACATTGAGAAGTGATAGTCATATTTCTTTAAAAAAAGCAACAATTTCTTCAAAATAGAAATTTCCAAAGAGAAATCAACAAATGCCAATGAAATGCTAACCCTTGATGAAGACATCATACCTGTTCCCTGTGTGTTGTCATGTGACTGACTGCTAGACTGTCAGCTGGTGGGGGGGGGAAGCAACTTGTCTGGGGTCACACATCGAGTCAGTATTTGATGCGGGATTCTAATTCAGACCCTCCTGATTCCAAGACCAGCCCTCTCCTCACCACACTTGGCATTTCAAGCCCTCCCCAACCTAGGCCCAAAGTCTCAGACCTTTCTGGTCTTATTTTCATTCCTGCATGCCAGTGTTTCCACCAGACTGGTCTTTTCTTGGTTCTCCCCAATAATCTGGCAGGTCATCACCCCAAAGGTTGATGCCAGGCTCAGGGTCCACCTTTTCCTTGGCCTTTTTTTGATCCTTCCCACCCCACAAAGTCATCTTACCCTCCTCGATTTTCTGTAGAGCAGAAAGAGCAGTGGGATGTCTGCTTACTGTGTGACTAAGGGGGAAGTGAAGTCGCCATCTTCCCTGGGCTTCTGATTCCTCCTCTGTGAAATGCGGGGATTGGCCTCCATCAGTGGGGTCAGATTCAAATGGAGAGAGGCACTGATTCTGCAGAAGGATCCCTGCAGTCGCATATTGATTTAGTTGTAAAGTGGATTATTATCTGTGCTTTATTGTGTTTTATTTATTTTATTAAATATTTCCCAGTTGTATTTTCATGTGCTGCCTCCACACTGGGGAGTGTTGCAGGTAGCATGGAGTAGGTGATCCTCTAGGCTTTGCTGGTCTTTTTCTGTGTGTGTGTCTTTCATCATCTTACTCAATCTGCCTCTGTCTCTCACTGTCTCTGTCTACTCTCCTCTTTATGTCTCTCTGTGTTTCTGTCTCTTCTCTGTCTCTCTCACAGTCTCCCTGCTCTGTCTCTCTCTGTCTCTGTCTCTTTCCTTTACTTGGCATGATTTCTATAATGAATTTGGATGTAGGGAAAAAAATCACTTTCTTATTTCTCAAGAGTTTAGGGAAAATATAGAATGAAATTTTGTTTTGGTTATTTAGAAAAAATGGAAACTTACGCAACAGTGAATAGAGAACACATGCTGGAGGCAGCATGGACGCTGTTCTGAGTGCTCTGGATCCAACACCTCAGGATCCACAAGTTCCGGATCCTGTGGGGCAGAATCTCTCTGTCTCAATCATTCTGTATCTCTCTGTCTCGGTCTGTCTCGATCTCTCTGTCTTCTTTTCTCTCATTGAGAAGGCCTCACAGTCTACAAGACCCTGTGCTCTCAGCATCAGCAAGGGTCTGTCTGTAGAAATCAAGTCAATAAACTCCAGTCAGCAAACGCTGAGTGCCTATTTGCCAGGCTCTTTGTTTAGCACTATGGATGGAACGATAGGAGCAGCCTAAGCCCTGCCCTTGCCATCTACCAGGATGGCTATAATCGACTAAGAGCTTGCGTATGGATGATGTGCGCAGATGTTAGTAGAACCCAAGGCAGAATGCAATAGGGGATTACGGGATTTGGAGCCAGCAGGGACCTCAGAGCTCATCACTCACATTTTTAACACACTCGTATATAGTCCACATTCTCCCTAGGCTTGAAAACCAGCAAAAGCATACCCCCTCTACCATTGCCCTCCAGGCTGTTTCATTACCAAAAAATCTCTCTGAGAGAGCAAACAAGATTGGGGGAGAGGGTGGAGCTGTGTTGGTCCAACTATAAATCTACAAAGTTGTTTGAAATGTGATAGATAATCCATGTGTTCAATGAGGGTGCCAGTCAGTGGAATTCAAAAAGTGATTTTTAAAAATGCTATCCATGCTATCCAAGAGGATGATGAATTGTGCAGACACAGTACTCAGATGCCAGACATGGCAGAGAAGATGCTACTTGGTATGGGGGTCCTGTAGTTTGAGGACTGTAAGGATCTCCCTCCACCACACAGATCCACGCCTTCTTAGTAATTGATAGTTTCTGTAGATTTGCCTGGGGCCCTGAAACTCATGCTCACACAGCTTTGTGTGACACAGATGAGATTTGAACTCAGGCTTTTGTCTCCAAGCCTAGCCTCTTTATCTATTATAGTACACTGCCTCTTAGTATGAAAACTGTTATTAATAAAATATAATTTCCTGGAGTAGGACCAGAAAAATTTTCTGTCCTTTGATATTTTTTTCTTTCATCTCATCTCCATTTTCCTCTGAGTCTTGGAGCATTCATTTTCTCTAATTTTTTTAATCTGAGAAGGAGGGAAAAAAGGTGCCTTCTGTACAGGCCAAAGCAAATGTCTCCTTCCTTTTTCATTTCCCTATATTGCCTCTCATTTTATGTATCTGTGCTGTCTTTTTAAATGTAATGTGAGCCTCTTCAGGTCAAAAGGAGGCTGTTTTGCATCTCTTTGTGTGTCCAGTGATTAGCACAATTTCCTGTACATATGTAACATGCACTGAACGAATCTTTGGCGTGGATAATGATGATGATACCTAGAATTTACATGGATCAGCTTAAAAGCAAATGACTGAGGTGCTCAAGCCTCCTAGAAGGTAAGTAATAGTAGTAGACAGTATTCTTACTCTACTGTTGGAGAAACTGAGATTTAGAGATAAACTTGCAATTAAATATAAAAATCACTACTAAAGGTCAAACCTTATAGTCTCTGAAAAAAGCACTAAGAGATGCATTGTAGAAAGATGTAGTTGTTTCCTCTATCACTAAGACTGGATATTTCTCTTTGAAATTCATTATGACTCAGTCATCCATGCATTTATCAAAGTCAGTCAATCAACACACAATTATTGAGCACCTAAAATGTGCACAGGCTCTGGGAATACAAAGCCAAAAATGAAGAGAGGTGCTCTGGTACATATAGAGGCATATGCAAAATTTATATATTTAAAAAATATGTAATTTTAGCCTGTGCCACTTTGGGGAGTTCTGTAAGTTTCTTTCCCTAGGTGAAATAGTATTCCTTCTTATTTGTTTTAAATTTAGCCACCCCAAGGTTTTAGGGGCTTCCTTCCTTTAATGAAGTGACTTGCACCAGTGGAGGGCCCCAGGAATCTATCTTAACCCCATGCCATTTAAAAATGTATATCAGTCACTTTGATGAAAGCACAGAAGGTAAATAGCAAAAAGATGTGAGGACTAGCTCCCTTTGGATGGTGGAATCAGTATTCAAAAAACTCTCAAATGTGTAGAACAATGAACCAAAAATAATGAGATAGAATTTAATAGGTAAGTGTAAACTCTAACACTTGGCTTCACATATCCAACTTGGGCGTGGATGTGGGCCATGTGTGTGTGTGTGTGTGTGTGTGTGTGTGTGTGTGTGTGTGTGTAGTGTCCAGGACCATGGAGGCAATAGTGCTATTATACTGTACCCCTCTGATATTAGCACATCCAGAACATGGCTACACATTTCAGAGTAACATTGATGAGAGTCCAGATGAGAGTGATGAGGCTGCTAAGGCAACTGGAGGTCATGTTATACGATGATGAATTGAAAGAACTGGGGCTATTTAGTCTAAAAAATACCATCTTACCAATTCCCCAGACTGACAACCTAGGCATCATCCTCTATTTCTCTTTATCTTTCACTCCCCATATAGAATTGTTGCCAAGGCCTGTTGATTTTACCACTGCAACATCTCTCATCTATTTCACCTCTGCAACATCTCTCATCTTTTGCCCCTCTGCAAAGTGTCTGCCTCTGGAGTAGACCCCCTTCTCTCCTCTGACACTGCTACCCCTCTGGTGCAGGTCCTTGTCACCTCACATCTGGACTATTGCAACAGCTGCTAGTGGGTCTGCCCCATGCAAGTCTCTCTCCAAGCCATTGTCCATTCACCAGGAACATGATTTTCCTAAAGTCCCTCTGATCATGTGACCTCTCTACTTACTAAACTCTAATAGCTCCCTATCACCTCCAAGACTAAAGATAAAATTCTCTATTTGGCATTCAAAGCCCTTTATAACCTAGCCTCTCAAACTCCCACCCCTATTTCCAGGCTTTTTACATGTGACATGTACTCTTCAATCCAGTAACACTGGGACCCGAAGTTCGGTGAACGAGACACTCCATCAGTTCTGGGCATTATCTCTGGCTGTTCCCCATACCTAGAATGATCTCGGTCCTCACCTCTGCTTACTGGATTCCCTGACTAACCCTCGCCTTTCCCAACGTCTTTTCTTTCCTATGCCTCCTCTTTTCACTCATTATTTCCTATCTAGCTTGTTTGTGCATATTTGTTATTTCACCCATTAGATCGTGAGCTCCTCGAGGGCAGGGGCCGTCTTTCGCCTCTTTGTGTCCCCGGTGCCTGTGCCTGGCACTTAGTAGGTGCTTAATAAATAATTGAGATGATTTAAGGCGGGCATCATAATGAGAGTTGTGTGCAAGCTGTCAGGGCTGACCCCGGGCAAGTCTTAGGCTTTCAAGGCTTCAGAAGGGGCAGAACCAAAGAAACGGCAGGACAGGTTTAGGAAACATTAATTAGGCGCCAGGCGCTGCTCTGCAACGGGGAATTCAAAGGTAAAAAGGAAACACTGAAGGGGCGGGGTAACCACCGGGAGACAAAATTGGATACAAAGTGTACACAAAGTTGCTGCGGGGTACCCACAAGTTGGGGTATCGCGGGACAGCGGGGGAGGGAAGGGGAGGAGCGAGTTTCCTATTTGCGCATGGGCACTGAAGCCCAGGCTGGAGGAGTAGCCCGGGAGCGTCCGCGTGACCGTGACCGTGATCGTGACCGCCGCGCGCGTGCGCGAGACCCCAAACAGCGCCAGGCAGCCCTGGACCGTGGGTCGCGCGTTGCCGGGGTAACGGGTGGGATCCCAGCTCGGGTAGGGGCAAGCCGTTCGCGGCGGCGGCGCCGAGAGGGCGGGAAGATCGAGGCCGCCGGGAGGCCGTCATGGAGCGGCTGACCGTGTCCCCCGGGGCCGCCGCCGCCGTGGACGAGTACCTGGAGTACAGAAGGTGAGGGGCGGCTCGCCCGCGGCGCGGAGCGGGAAACTGAGGCAGCCGGGAGCCGGACCTTGGGAGGCAGTCCGGAGCTGGGCGGGACCTCAGAGGCCGCACCTCCCGCTTTACAGCCCGGGAAGCTGAGGCAGCCCCGAGCTGGGTGGGACCTCAGAGTCTGGCCCTCCTTTTACAGCTGGGGAAGCCGAGGCAGCCCAGAGCAGAACCTCAGCGTGTCCCAAGCCATTCTAGGGAGGAAGCCCCGCATCTGACACCTCAAGCTGAATCCCTCAGTGGTGACACTCCCCAATTTTACAGCTGGAGAAACTGAGGCAGCCTAAGGCCGGGCCACAGCGTGGGCAAAGTCACCCAGGGAAGAAGCCCTGACTCTAGCACTATGAATTGGCACCATCAGAGACCACCCCCGCCCCTCTTTACTCTGGGGAAACTGAGGCATCCTAGAGCTGAACTACAGCGTGTCCTAAATCACTCTAGGGAGGAAGCCCCAAATCTAACACCTCAAGCTGAAGCCCTCAGAGGTAACATTGCACCCACATACTTTTGCAGCTGGTGAAATTGAGTCCCAGAAAGGGGAAGTAACTTTGAGCGAGAGAGGGCTCAGAGGCCACCTCGTTTATTTGCGGACAGGATAACTGAGGCTCAAAGAGAAGGGACAGTGATCATAGATTCAAAGCTGGAAAGGCCCTGAGAAGCCTTCCACTTCAGTGCCCTCATTCTGCATACAGGGAAACTGAGCCCCAAAGGGGAGAAATGACTAGCCCAGGGTCACAGAGGTGCCATTGGAATCCGTGTTTCCTGACCCCAGAACCCTGCCCTTCCTTGAGGGCAGGGATTGTTCCACGTTTGCCTTGGTATTTCCAGAGCCCAGAACAGTAACGTTGCACCACAGGCTCTATTCTAGTTGGAGTCAGAGTCAGTAAACATTAAGCACCTACTATGTGCCAGCCTTTCTGCCAAGGGCTTAAGACAGTATCTGCCCTCAAGGAGCTTACAGACTAATGAAGGGAGACAACACACAGAAAGAATTGAGAAGCAGCATGGCCACAGATGAGTGAAGGCACAGATTAGGCTTTAGGGCAGGGGGGGCACTAACCTGGAAGAATGGGGAAGGGCCTCCTAGAGGAGGTTCAGTCCAGTCCCGGCTCTCGAGCTGGCACGAGCCTAGGGGCCATCGACTTTGACCTGCCTCATTTTAGAGAGAAAGACGTGCCCAGCGTCACAAGAGGAGAGTCACCAGAAGTGGGGTTTGAGCTTACATCTCCTTCCCAGGGGCAGTTAGGTGGCTCAGTGGATAGAGCACTGGGCCCTGGGGTCAGGAACACTCAGCTTCCTGAGTTCCCATCTGCCGGTTTTCCCATCTGTGCAATAAGCTGGAGAAGGAAATGGCAAAACACTCCAGTATCTCTGCCAAGAAAACCCCTCAAAAAAGTCATGAAGAGTCGGGACACAGCTGGACAACAGTTGGTTCATTATACCCTTACCTGAAAATCTGCCAGTATACCTTTGGTGTCTTCCCAAAAGGGATTAACTTTTCCACCCATGTAGAAAAGTACTCACTGTAGGATCAGCTAGAGGGCAGCTAGTGGGTTTTCCCCACAACAGATGCTTAAATCACAGATTCATAAATGAGCCATAACCTTAGCCTGAAACGTAAACTCTTAATGTATCACCTCTGGATACTGTCCTGTGACAGCCTTTGGCTTGGGATGGTCTTTGACCACTATCTGTTGTGATTTTAGAGGTACTAAAAGTCCTTGCCCTTTACAGTGACCCTCACACCTAAAGACCAAAATTCTACCATCACATTCATTCCTCTGCTATTTGGGCAGCTAGGTGGAACAGTGAATAGAGCACTAGCCTACACTCAAGAAGACTTGTCCTGAAAGTAAGACCTTGGGCAAGTCCCTTAACCTCCCTTAGACTCAGTTTCTTCAGCTATAAAATGGGGATAATAATAACACCCAAAGGGTTGTGAGGATCAAATAAGATATTTGTTAAAAGTACTTAGCATAGTGCCTGGCACAAAATAGGCATTTAATAAATACTTATTTCCATCCATCTTTCCTTCCTTCCTTCCTTCCTTCCTTCCTTCCTTCCTTCCTTCCTTCCTTCCTTCCTTCCTTCCTCCCTCCCTCCCTCCCTCCCTCCCTTTCTTCCTTTGTTCGTCCCTCCCTCTTTCTTTCCTTCCTTCCTTCCTTCCTTCCTTCCTTCCTTCCTTCCTTCCTTCCTTCCTTCCTTCCTCCCTCCCTCCCTCCCTCCCTCCCTTTCTTCCTTTCTTCCTTTGTTCATCTCTCCTTCCTTTCTTCCTTCCTTCCTTTCCTCCCTCCCTCCTTCCATCCTTCCATTCATTTGGGAATGCATCTACTAGAGAAATGAATTCTTTGGTATAACAAGACGATTGTGATCATATTCATGACATTAAACTGACTTAAAAGCTTAGAAACATTTTTAATAGTACGAAGCACTATAATTTTAAAAATTATGCTTGATTTGTCCATAGAAGAGGAGTGGTCTTAGGATACTTTATTGGTGTGCCTCTCCTTCACCCCCAACCTACCATCAGTTGATTTGGAAATCCTAGAGGCTAAAAAGATAATGCTTTGTAGGAGGGAAAGTGGGGCATGGGAAATTATGGAGCAGATCCTGAATGTCATTGTAGAGGCAGAAATTGGAAAAGAAAAGCTTTCACTTTTGACTGCTCCTCTTTTCCGTTTCCTTCCTCTGGTTTCTGTATGACACTCTGGAGGGGTAGCCTACTTTTAACATTTTTACTGTGGTTCACGTAGTAAGCCCTGTTCTAATCATAGAGTTGGGGGCTGATGCACACCCAAGCACAATAACAATTAGCAATCACAGCGTGCCCTGAGGTCTGCCAGCCTCCCCCGCTACCCATGGTTTCATTTGAGCTTCAGAAGCAACAATCCTGAGAAGCAGGTGCTGGGGGTAATGTTACCTCCGGTCTTACAGCCGCAGCTTGTCAGGGTCAGAAGTGAGATGTGAGCGCAGGTCTTGCAGACTCCTCGCCTCTTGTGCCGCTGGCTGCCTCTCTCAATGGCTGGAGGCAGGCGCTTCCCAGGGCGTCTCTAGTTGTAGTCCTGGCTGGGAGCTGGAGTCACCTGCGTGCCCTAGTGACCATTTTCTTGGTTTTTGGAATGATGAGTGCCTTGGCATTTCAGACCTGCCCCTTTGGGCTAATCCTGGAGGGGGATAAAGGGAGACAGAATGCGCTTTAGTTGGCTTCAAAAAGAGGAGAAAATCCCGATGAATATGTAATAAATTATGGGCTATAGTCTTGTGAAACACATTCATTTCAATCTCTTCTCTCTGGATTTATTCATTTATTGATTTCTTCATTTCCAGGCTTTCATATATGAACCAGGGATTTTGGGAACCAGCCTTCGCAACTGTTACTGCTGTGTTGTTGCTAAAGTGGCATCGATTATGGGTGTGGGGTCTCACACATTCAGTAGTTTCAAAATGGCCCTCTGATTGATTAACACGAAAGACAAAAGTTGAATCTTTCCTTGACTATGTAATCTATTTCAGGAATGTTGAGTTTTATATTTGCATTTGTCTTTCTCTGAAAAACAAATACCCCAAACTTATAAAAAATGAATTTTGTTGTAGAATTGTTGGTGAGGATGATGGAGGGAAACTTTTCACCCCTGAAGAATATGAAGAGTACAAAAGTAAAATTTTACCAGTGCGATTACGGAACAGATTATTTGTGAGCTGGCGATCGCCCCTGGGCATAGACTGTAAGCTTATTGGCCCAGAAACTCAGTGTTTTTGTACACACAGGTAAGGTATGATGTTAAGTTTCCTACTGATGACTAGAAAAATGAAACTATAATAAAACAATCCACTAGCAGATGCTGTAGTTGAACTAAAGATGGATGAATATGCTCCATGATGTTTGGTATAATGTGCAAAAAAATTTTAAAATCATTTTGGACCTCAGGTTTGTCCCCAGGTCTGCTGGTTCAGCATCACAACATGACTCGCCCCTTGTCCAACTTGTTGACTTTGGGAAAGAAGATGGCCTGGTTTTATCAGGGGTGGTGGCAGCCAGGAAGAGACCAAACAGCTTAGAGATAGGGAGACTTGGGGCACAGAGCTCAGGGACTCAGGCCATGAATCTCATAGGGCATGTTATGCAAGGTAGAGCATTTTTATTGTATTTTCATAAATTTATTTATTAGGAAACTATCAAAGGTGGAGTAGAAATCTCTTTTGTTGATGGTGTTCTATGATTTACTCTTAGGAACATCTAGTTATTCTTGATACCCAGATAGTCTAGAACAGACCCTCTCCTTCCCCCCAAGTCTGACCTCATTCCTGCCACAGGGGAGTTCTCTGGTGTCTCTGGGAACATAGTGAAAGTGCCTTTTCTACCTTAAACTTCAGTGCATTAGTGATCTTTTGGATGTGGCTTATCGTCTGCTAGGTCAGATCCTCACGATCTGTGCTTTCTCATTCTGGGTTATTCTGGTCCCAATCTTCAGGAGGCCTTCCTCACCCAGCTTCTCGGAACATTTTGGGTATACCAGTCCAGTGCTCAAGCTGCTCACAGGTTCTCCCTCGATCTGCTACATGACTAGATTCTTTTCCTTTGACTTGACCAACACTTATTAAGCCCCTACTTGCACAAGGTGCTGGAGACACAAGTATTATAAAATGTCCGTGTCCCCACCCTCCAGGAATTTACATTCTCCTGGGGTGGAGGATGGGGAAGACTGAATTGTGGACACAGAGAAGTAAGATACGAGGTTGGGGGAGGTTGTGAGAATGGGGTTTCGTAGGGAAAGGGGTTTGTTGACAGAAGCCTGAAAGATCCAGAGGGGTCAGTGTGATGGAGAGGCCTAGACAAAGTGCCTGAGGAAGAGTTGAGGTGGGAGAGAATCCTTTTTCCTGGGGAAAGAGAGGACAGTTACACTTGAGCTGAACCTTGGAAGGAGAGAAAGATTCTGAATAGGCATGTGAGGACGGCCTATGGGAGTAAGTGCATGGACACAGGAGAGGGCTGTGGAATTGCCTGTGTGCTTAGGGATATCCCAGTGTGCTAGAGAGTAAAGCCAAAGAAAGGTCCTAGCTTGGGTGTGGGAGTTGGTGGTCAGGCAGCGTGGCTAGATGGGATGTGTTATCTCCAGCCTCTAGGCCTTTGCTCAGGCCATGCCATCCTCCATACTTGGAGTATACTGCCTTCTCTTAGAATGCCTCAATTCCTTTTAAATTCAGATTACGTGCCAGGTCCTATGGGAGGCCTTTCCTGACACAAGCCTTGGCAACTGATTAGATATGGAGAGTGAGGGAGAAGAAAGGGTCATGGATGACAACAAGGTGATAGGAAGAATGGTGGTTTCCCCAAGAGAAGTGGGCACATCTGGAAGAAGAATGGGTTTTGGGGAAAATATAGCGACTTCTGTTTTGAACATGTTGAATTTGAGATACTTCTAGGGCATTGAGGGGGAGCTGTCCAGCAGGCAGTAGAGAGATGATACTTGAACTCATGAAAGCTGATGAAATCACCAAGGGAGAGACTGTGGACAGAGGAGAATAGAACCTTGGGGGATGTCCACATTCATTAGAGGTGAGGAGAATGATTACATAGCTAAAAAGCCTGGGAAGGGATGAGCCGGCAGTTAAGAAGAAACCAAGAGAGAAGAGTGTCATTCGTAGAAGCTGTGGGAGAGTAGAGTTCCCAGGAGGAGCGAGTGATGAATGTGGTCCCCAGCTGCAGAAGGGCCGAGCAGAACGAATGAACGAGTGCTGAGAAAGGGCCATCGGCATTATCAGTCAAGACATCGTGTTGGTTCCCTTGAAGAGAATAGTTTCTGGTAAGTGGTGGGATCAGAAGGCAGCTTATAAAAGGTGGAGGAGAGATTGAGAAGTGGTAGAGTGGAGCTGGCGGTCACCGTCCCTTTCGAAGCGTTTGGCTGTGAACAGGAGAACGCTCTGAGTTTTAGCCACGCCGCTCAATTTCCTGCTGCCTCTGCCCAAGATGCCGCAAGCTTCCCTCAGGTGTTCTCCCTGCTCCCCTCCACTTCTTGGAATCCTGAGCTAGCTTCTGGCTTCAGCTTCATCAGGGTCTAACCTTCCCAGACCTTATCCCCTAACTGAAGTTACTTGGTACATGGTAAATTGTATATATTGTGTAACATGTAGATTTGTGCAGCTGTTTTTCCCAGTAGAATGCAGGCTTCTTGAGGGCAGGCCTGGTCTCATTTATATTGTAATTTCATTTTTTCATAACTGTGTCTGCAGCACCTAGCACAGTGTCTGGTACAGAGTAGGTACTTAACAACCTTGATTGATTTATCTGTTGTATCTTCTGTCTCTATATGTGTGACCTCCTTTGGGTAAATAGATGATTTTGTTAGAGTCAAGTTTTCCTTGCAAAGGAAGTCATCTAATAATGTGTTTGTCAACACAATCTGAATTCGACTCTAAACAAATTTCCCCCAAATACTCTTTTTTGATACTTTGATGCTTCATAAATACACAGTGAGAGATATATTTATGCTTGATGTATTGGGCCTAATTTGCTTAGACATGGTACTGTTGAGGTCAAAAGGTCGTGTTAGTGAAATTCTAGTTTTTCTGGAGGGATTTCAATGAGCAGATTTGTTAACCTTATTCCCTCTATTAAATAGAATAATTAAGAGTTATTTGTCTATTATTTGAGCTTAAAAATGTTTAAAGTAACTCCTTTCTTTTGCCTACCATATGAAAGCTTAGAGGTAGTGAGGCTTTCATGTGCTTTTGCTTTTAGCGGGGTCTTTCCTTCATTAGGAATTTTCAGTAGTCTCAGACTCACCTGGCCAAACTTGACTTTCTTCCGAAACAATGTCTTGTTTTATGAAGTGTTATCAGCTTTATCATTTAGGAGTTAATTTTCCCTTTCCCACATCATAGCAATCCAGGAAAGGTAGTCGTAGATGGGAATCTGTGTCTGAATATGGAACTTCTTTTTTGATGGCAGTTCAACACTAAATCTAAATTATTTTATGTTTATTGTTTTGCGTGCATTCCACCATTCTACTGGTGTCTCTGTATGGCAGCAAGATGTGGAACACAACAGTCTCTGAGGAATTAAAAGTTAATTTCCCACAGAAGGCAATAGAGAGGCCTGTGGTTGGTATGAGCAGGGGCGACATGTCACTGGGGAGGAACTCTGATGAAGAGGTCTGAGGAATAGAAGCAGAAGATGTCCTCAAGGAATTGGAAGGCAGGAAGAGAAGATGGGCTGGTCATGTGGCAAGGGTCAAGGATGTTAGGGGCAGCTAGAGTGACCCTTTGGTCCCCTTAGGATGTCGGGAAGAGGTAAGGAAGCCTCCCCTTCACATCAAGGCTGCTTTGGGGAGCAGAACAGGATGGGCAGGCCCAGATAGGGTGTGGCTTGCATATCTGGAGAGAACTTTCTGACTGATGATAGATGTGACCCAATGTGGTTTTTGAGGGTTATCTGACCTTAATAATGGCCTTGATGAGACCATCAGGCAGTAGGATTTCAGAGGCCCTCTCTGTAGAGGCTCTCTTCATCAGCATCTCCATTAAGTGGTTGGTTATTCATACCTCCACCAAAGGGGATCCCGGGGGGGGGGGGCTCCTTCCACTTCCAGGCCTCTCTCACTGTTGGGGAAGTGTTCACACTGTGCTTTGAAGATCTTACCATTTTACCTAGCTCTGAGTTGCTGTGATATTCAGCCAAGTTTACCTGAGTGTAGCTTCCATCAATGACATCTCATTACACCCTCTGGGGTTAGGCCCTCTACTCCTCAGCAGCCTTCCAAATACCGGAGGGTGGCTACCCTGTCCCTCCAAGTCTTGGCTTGTCCCCTTGCTCCCATGCCGTGATGTAGAGGCCTTTATCTTTCTGAATGCCTTCCCCGGGATCCTCTCCAGCCTTCTAAAATGGAGCCCCTAGATGTGAACACCATACTTCGATGTGTCTGTTGGGGAAGTCTCCAGCACTGTTCTCTAGTTATCATCATTTTTAATAGACTGTTGTTGTCTAATGAACACGTGGCTTCCTTTGACTTCTGAGGTAGCAAAACTAATACCACAAAGAGGCACATTGAAAAGGGAAGGCAAGCTCCTGTTTGAGGAGGGTGGTATAATCAAGGATGGGAGGCATTAGTAACAATACTTCATTTTATTCTCCTACCAAAGCACGAGAACTGATGTAGACATTTTTTTAAAGTAAGTTCTTATTGATGTTTTTGGTTTCTTACATCATCATAGTTTTCCCCAATGTTCTTTCCCCTCCCCCTCCCAGAAAGCCATCCCACATAACAAATAGTATTTTTGTTTTTTGTTTTTCTCTTTTTGGTGAGGCAATGGGGGTTAAGTGACTTGCCAAGGGTCACACAGCTACTAAGTGTCAAGTATCTGAGGGTGGATTTGAACTCAGGTCCTGCTGACTTCAGGGCCACAGCTTTATTCACTGCACCACCTAGCTGCCCCTAAATAGTATTTTTTTAAAGAGAAAGAAAAATCAGCGCAACTAATCGTTCCATGGAAAAAGTTGGAAGATGCTCGACGTGTGGCGCCTGGGGCCCTCCCAGCCCCACAAAGGGGTGTCCTCTTGTATCTCTTGAGTCTTTCTTGATCTTGCTAATTTTGTGATATTCACATTTGATTGTTTGTTATGTCATTCTTTCCATTGACACTGTTGGAGTCATTGTGCCTGCATGGTTTCTGTGGTTCTCTGCCTTCATCACATTCGCCGTTGGGGGCAACATCGTCTTGTCCCATCATAGGCATGTACCACATTTAGCTGTTCTTCAGTTGATGGGCCCACATGGGCTTTTCGTGTCTGCTGAGGTTCACTTGGCTAACTGTTTTTGAAGGATTTTAAAAGATGGAAATCCTGGTAAATTTTGGCTGCCCTGTGCTTATTCACTGTCTCTTTTGATTTGTTTCAATGTTCTTTTCAGGTATAAACAACAACAACATAAAACTGACTTGGAAGGGATCCCACCAGAACGCCCAGTTTCCCTGCCTTGCAAAGTGAACCAATGCCCCTGTAGCTCTTTCTGCTACGTGCCCATGAGTGGAAGTCGACCGATTCGGTGCAAGTGTAAGCATTTTGCTGACCAGCACAACACAGACCCAAATCGGGTTTGCAGAACATGTGAGTGAGGGCAGGGCTTCTCTGGATACAGAGGCAGAGCTGGGACATTTCTGTGTTAGGCATCCATTTATAGTTTTTCTTTGCGTGGATTTGAGCCACTTATTGGGTTATTTAACAAAGAAGAAATTATGATGAGCAATAAATGTTCGTACCAGTTTTTTTTTTTAAGGAATTGCCCTAATTATATTCTTCTTTGGTGGCATCCTAAACAACAACTTTAGATGCTATGAATCAATAATTTTACTAATAGCCACAGAGTTTACATTGTAATTGTTCTTTGGGTTTACTGAAAAATTTTTAGTGGGAATTTAATCAATTAAATTATGTGCCACTAATGCATATTACTGGGAGGTCGTTTGAAGACATTGTTTACAGTAGGCACCATAAAAGTTAGTCCTGGTATTTGTAAGCACTAGTGTTTTAGATTCTACTTATTTATACTCCAGCTATGCTCCCAAAAGAATTTGAGGCAGCTTTATTTGCAGGTAAAACACAATATGTGACAAATAGTATATATTATCCTGAATTAAATACATCCTTTGGGAGAAATTATAATTTAGATAGAATGAATATAAAAATGAAAGTAATATATCAAATTTTCTGGGTTATACATATTAAGTCATTTCATTTTTGAAATAATTTAAGTTGAAATCTTATTGTGTAGTAGAGCAGTTTAGAATGGCATTTTTAATAGAATGAGTCTTTGATGACTTTGAAGGGTAAATCTGTGCTCTGTTGTGCACATAGGCAAACTGTAGCTGTAGCCCCTACTTTCCATGTGTGAGTATGGGTGGCTTGAGTTTTCATTCAGCAAACTATCTCTTGGTGGATCTGATCCCTCAGTTTATTGGCTTAAAGCTGCACTAAGACTTTTGGGACACTCTCTACTTGGGACTTGAGAGAAAATGGAAGTACATTATTACTTCTTATTTCCGCAGCTCTCTGTCTATTGTTCCTCTCATCTGCTCCTAATTCCCAAGGGTAAATATGTGCTCACATCAGTGGTTTAGTAATCACGGTTGACATATAGAGACTTTGAAGTTGTAAGAGCACTTTGCGTAGATTATGTTACCACAGCTCTGCTCCAAAGGTGCTATAAGCATGATTGTCCTCACTTACAGATGAGAAGCCTGAGGCTGAGAGTGCCCAGAGCAGGATCTGAACTCAGGTCCTTCTGGTTCCAAGCCCAGCAGTTTGTCCACTGTGCCTTACTATTCCCTCCTGGTTTCTAGAGCATTCTTTCCCATTTGCTGTGCTGCAGTCCTTTTGCCCCAGTTATTTTCCCCAGCTGTTTCTTGTTGCTTTATGCCCTTACTTGTATTAGCAGACACTCTTGGAGTTTTTAGAAGTTATAGCTAGAGTCAGGAATGGGCTGAGGAGGGCCTGAGACCGTAGTGTATTCTGGACAGAAAAGGTAACAGGAAGAGCCCCCTGTCCTGCTTTGCCATATTTAAGTTACAAACTTACTGATATTGAGAGATGTTCTTTTTTTCTGTGATTTTATGCAGGTAACAAATGCCCGGGATTTCATAGCTACTTTACCTGTAGTTGTGGTCATCCCGCATATACACACGAGACAGTAGTAGAAACTAAAGAAGAGAGGCTGGCCCTGGGAAAGCCCGTGGGACGGGACGTTCCTTATGCTGCAATGGGAGGACTGACAGGCTTCAGTTCACTAGCTGAAGGCTACATGAGACTAGATGACAGTGGAATAGGTAGGTGACCATGGGGGGAAGAGGGCTAAGGTCCTGGTGTGTGCAGTCCTCCTCCACACACCTTGTTTTGTTGTATGGCGGGCCACGCTTCTTTACTGAGGAACATTTGGGGTGCCATCTGTGGTGTTTTGGTCACCTTTATTTATACCTCTTTCTGGAGAGTCTGCCAAAAAAGGAGAAGACCTCCAGTGCATTGAAGCGTGGGCAGCGGCTGCCCATGGCTGCCGGGAAGGGTGGGAGGGGCTGTTTGGTAGCAAGACCCTGGCCCACAGCAGGGCTGCTTGCTGCATTGGTTTTTACGGCATCATTGGTCAAGGCCCGGCCATCCTGGTGGCCTGGCCCTGCTGGCTTCCCTTCCAACGTTGGTTTGATTATCATGGGATTTTTATGATAAAGGACATGCTCACCTGAACATATTTACAGCTCCTTTCTCACTAGCCAATCAAATACAACCTCCCCAAGTATGGCATCAAGTTGTGCTGCCTGCTGGCCAGAGAGGGGCCTTGGAGAAGGGCAGTCCTGCCTCTGGCACAGCCCCGCTGGCAGACTCTGGGCAGGCCTTCATCTCTCTGAGCCCCGAGGTTGTGAGTTAGAGAGAAGGTGCCCGAGTGGAATGAGTTTGGTGAAATCACCCATGTGCACTTGCTGATCCCTTCCTTCTGAACCCTTCGGCACTGCCCTGGACCTGCTTCACTCACCCCTTGGTGCCAGGTTGTCTTTGTCACCGTTTCTTCCTTTGGTGTATGTTTAGGCGTTAGCTGCTCAACCAGCCTTTGACCCCAACTGGGAGGGCGGTCTTTGTTCTTTCCCCCTCCCCTTCAGTGAGATCCTAGAAGCCCCTCCTTGGGACGCACAGGATTACTCTCAGCTGACTCATCCCCATGGCAGAGGCAGTGGCCCTGGTTGCCTCAGTATCTGACTCCCTACCTCCTTGTCTTGGGCAAGAAGGCTCTCGGCCTCTCTCTTTGCTTGGCCCAGGAAAGACGTGCCATGATGTACACGCACTTGACGCTTCAGTGGCCTGATTTGAACCAGCATCTTATTATGTACACATTCCATCTGAAATGCCTGTTTTGAACTAGTTCTGTCTTCCAAGGACTCACGGATGAAAAGCAAAAGGCCCTCATACTCTGGCCTATCAATTCTTATTCTTATGGGCGTATGCTTCCTTTGAGATTTCTTTGTAGACACCTCCTGCTTTTCCTTCTTCTGGCCTCATTCTTCATCTTCTTCCCTGTGTATTTTTGGTAGATCACCCCTTTCTGGTGCAGAAAGTCTTTTATGAAAGCTTTTGGCAAGGGCAAGAGGGAACATGTGTACTGAAGGGACTTTCCTCCTCCTCATCCTCCTTTGTGTTGAGCTAGAATTTCCAAATGTGAACAATTTGGCACTGACTCTGGCTGCCCTTTCTTCCTCTAGTGGTCTGTCCACGAATTGCTTTCAGAGTTTTCCTTAATGCTTTTTCTGGCCACACACACAGAGATCACAAGCATTGGCTGTGACCCACCTGGGCAATGGAGCCGTCGATCACTGATGGCGAAGGAAAGCAGTAGCTGCTCAGTCTGGCTTGCCTGGTTTTATAATAGCTTCCAGCATTCCCTCCCTTATCTTCTTTATTGTCCTTTTCCAATTTCTGTTTGCGCATTCTTCTCCATCTATGGCACGTGACGAGGATTCTCACTGATTGATTTGGTTCTTACACTTTCAACTTAAACATACTTTTCTCCCTTTTTTTCTGACTTGAATATTGTCTTCACTTCTTGGGCATTCTTTTTGCATTCCATTTACTGCCCTTATTCTCTTGTTTGGGTGAGAGTGATGTCGGGCATATATGCCAGAATTGTTTCCGCTCTCATCTGATTATTCCTTTTTAATCTATGGGTTCCTCTTGTATCTTCTGTGAAGATCATACAAAGTAAACACATGAGCAGCCTTTTCTCTTTCCCCTTACCATTTTTAATGCCTTTCAGCGTTGGGAGGTTGGGTCATGTTGGGATAGAAGAGCCTTACCTAGGAGCTATTTATTTAAAAAATGAGACTGGTTTCCATTAACCATGCAAGAAGGCTGCCAGCATCATCTCAGGCTAATGCTTCATCTTGCCCTGGAAGCCAGCAAACATTTTTACTCTGTCTCTTCTGGCACAACGAGCATTCTTCTTGGTAGAGAAAACAGACAAAAAATAGGTGCTGCCTTTTCTCACTTCTCCACGGGGGCAGTGACTCTAGGTCTTTCCTCCTCCTCCTCCTCTTGCTCTCACTGGACTCAGTAACAAGAGAAAATTAGTTTCCAGTCCTGTCTGCCATACTTTCTGCATGAATGGGGACCACCTAGTTTCCTGGTCAGATGGGGCTAGAAATACCTCTGGTACCTAACTTACTGGCAAAGGGGGTTAGGAGGAGATCAAAAGAAGTGACACGTGGAATGTGCTTTCAGACCTTCCAGTGCCACCTGTCTAGATGCCAGCTGCTCTTGGGAGGGACTGCCCTTCAAGCTGGGGTGTCTCTGCAATATCTGTCTCCTTACTTGAATAGTCCTTAGTTCACTTTGTTTATTAGCCATACTCTGGGCATTTTGGGGTAGACAGAGCTCATGAGCCTCATTCCTTCTCTCCTTTTGGGTCTGTCTCCTATGAATCACTAGAGATTTCTGTGACTTTTATTTTTTCTATCTTATGCTTATTCACCCACCATATTTTTCACAAGATGGATGTTCCCCGTAATGAGGTGAACGCTCTTAAACTTTTTAATACAGAGAGTTTTGGTGATTATTTTATTAAGTGCATTTTAACTGAATTACTTTGGATGAGGAGATGCCAAAGATGGTAAAGAGACTGGAGATTATGCTAGAGGGGATTGGTTGAAGAAACTGGGGGTGTTTATCCTGGAGAAGAGAACACTTAGGGGTGGACACAAAATTTGGTTTCAAGTCTGTGAAGGGTTGGCATGTATAGGAGGGATTACACTCATTCTCTTTGGCCCCAGAGGCCACTTCAGGCTCCATGTAAGGAAAACTGATCATTGAGTTGTCGTTGTTCAGTTATGTCTGACTCAGTGACCCCATTTGGGGTTTTCTCAGCCATTTTTCTCTCCAATGCAAGGAAGAAACTGCCTCATAATTAGAGCTTTCCAGAAATAGAATGCACTGCCTGTGAGGGTGTGGGGGGCTTCCCATTCCTGGAGGCCTTTAAGCAGAGGGTGGGGTTGTTCTCAAGGGGACCCAGGCTTTGGGTGTGAATTGGCTGAGATGGCTCTTTGAGGTCTTCTAGGTCTGAGATCCTGCGATGCTGCTGGGATGTTCACTTTTCTACTCATCGTTTTTCTACTTAGGTGCACCTCCACTTGAAATTTCAGAATCTCCGATTACTGCTGCAGACCACCCATTACTAAGAGCATTTCAAGAGCCGTCTAGCTCTGCTCAAGGTAGGCAAATATGTGGTTATGCAGTTAACTTAAGAGAGAATTTTTATTTCAAGTCAGAATCCAGAGAAGGTTGCCGTGATTCACTTTCCTAAGTGCCTATCTACTTGTAGTATGTAGATGTTTGATTTTCAGTAGATTTTATTTGTTCGTTCTAGTTTGGCCAGTCCATGGAGAAAATTAAGAAGCTTCATGAGCTTTGAAAAGATAGAACTAGAGGGGGCCATCTTTGGGGTGGCTGATTCTGGATCTCCCCTTTTATGTCAGCCTTTGTTTCAGCTGAATTGGAAGGGGCATAAAATCATACCCTGTGGTTTTCTGAATTAGAAGTTCTCCAGATGGAGATCCTGAGTCCTTTGTGCCCTTCCAAAGGGAATGGAGCCCAGTGATACGCAATTCCCCAGTGATTATATGGGGGGTTCACAACACTTCATGTTTTAGAAATCGAAGTTAGGCAAGAAAAGTCAAACTGTTATCCAGTTGTCCTATATAACTGTTATCTCCTAGCACATACCATCAGGGTAGTAGGCTTTGTATTCTAATCTTTTGTCTAAAACAAGATAAAAGAAATGGAAGCTTTCTAGAGAGTTTTAATACTCGCTACTATTTTCAAAATGCATAAAATAACCTTTACATGTTTAATCTTTTTAAAAAACATTTTTAGGTGCAAGTAATCAAGCATCTTCCTTAAGGAGACCTGATGAAGATGATATGGCTTACTTTGAAAGGCGTTACCAGGAAAGGGTAAAGAAGAAACTTTTTTTCTCCCAATGCTTTTATTAAGCATTTACTTGTCACGAAGTCACTCAGACTGTTTATGCACTGCCTTTACAGAGCGATGTTGAAAAGTACATGCCAGGTTTCTTCTTGCTCGGGATTTGGCACTAAGCATCACGCAGAACCAAAGCCTTAATACGGCATTGACAGAAGGCGCACGGCCACAGGTAGCTTGTAGAGGCTCTGCAGAGACCAGAACAGAAGCACATGTGGATGATTTTGTTAGGCTCAGGAAGCATCATGTTGATGACACTCAGAATTTGGATAAAGAGAGCCTTCAGTCATGTAACTTTTGACAGAGTGAGAACTGTGTTGTTAATATAGGCATGATTTAGTAATCTGCTAATCACGAATGGATGTTTTTACACACACATCAGGAATGTGTTGGCTCGTGAGAGATCCATGTCTCGGGAGACTTGGCCCGGGGAAAGGTAGGTGCCTATGATTAGCTGAGGGTTGCGTCATCAAGGTCACATAAACCTTTTTTGTTAGATGGAGGACAGTGGCCTGTGGGGACATGCCTGGGAAGTGTCCCAGGCATATAGTGCAGGGGAAGAGACTCGTGTGCCTTGGAAGTCTGCAGCTGTTTCAGGCCTTGCCTTGCCAGTTGAGTCACAATCACTTTTTTTCTTAACATTCTTTTCTTTTAAAATTTTGTGTTCCTGATTTTCTCCCTCCCTCCCATCACTTCCCTATCCACCAAGAACGTGGGTATATCAGTTGTACAAGTGACATCATGCAAAACATATTTCCATATTAGCCAGATTGCAAAAAAAATCAAAAAGAAGAAATTGAGAAAATCATACTTCAGTTTGTACTCAGAGTTCATCAGTTCTCTCTCTGGAAGGGGAAAGCATTTTTTTCATCATGAGTCCTTTGGAATTGTCTTGGATCACTGGATTGATTGGAGAAGTCGAGTCTTTCACAGTTGATCATCATCACAACATTGCTGTTAATGTGCACAATGATTTCCTGGTTCTTCTCACTTCATTTCCCATCTGTTTCATATAGGTCTTGTTTCTTCTGAAACCACACCCTTTTTGTGTCTTATAGCACAATGGTATTCCATCATAATCATATACGAAAACTTGTTCAGCCATTCCCCAGTTGATGGGCATCTTCTCAATTTCCAATTCTTGGCCACCATAAAAAAGCTGCTGCAAATAGGTCCCTTTACTTTTTCCTTGATCTTTTTTTGGGTACAAAGTAGTAGCATTGTTGAATCAAAGGGTACGTATGTACAGTTCTCTAACCCTTGGGGCATAGTTTCATATTGTTCTCCAGCATGGTTGGACCAGTTCACTACTCTACCAACAATCCATTAATGTACCTATTTTCCCTCATTCCCTCTAGCAGCTGTCATTTCTGATAGGTGTGAGGTGGTACCTTAGAGTTGTTTTAATTTGCCTTTATCTAATCAATAGTGATTTAGAGCAATTTTAATATGACTATAGATGGCTTTGACTTCTTCTGAAGATTGTTCATATCCTTTGATCATTTATCAACTGGGGAATGGCTTATTTTTTATAAACTTGAATTGGTTCCACATATATATTGAGAAATGAGGCCTTTATCAGAGAAACTTGCTGTGAAATTTTTTGATATTACTTTATTGTCTGTGGTAACTTTTATTGAAATATAGTTTCTCTGATTATGTCTTTTAATTAGGTCTGATTTGCTTTTGTTTTGTCTGAAATCCTGACAGCCACCCTGCTCTCTTCACTTCAGCTGAAGCCTAACAGCCTCTGCTCCCACCTTGTGTATGTCTTTCTGTCCCAGTCATGTCTCTTGTCCACAACCTATAGTTGGATTCTAGTTTCTAATCCATTCTGCTATCTACTTCCATTCTTTGGGTGAATTTATTCCACTTACATTCTCAGTTATGATCACTCACTGTGCATTTCCCTCCATCCCATTTTTCTCTATTTATCTCTCTCTCTTTTTTATCCTGTACCTCCTCAAAAGTCTGTCTTGCTTCTGACCACTGCCTCTCCCAATCTGCCTTCCCCATTATTTTTCTCCCCCCGCCCAACTTTTATTCCTCTTCACTTCCTAGCTCCCTTTTGGGTAAGATAGATTTCTATACCCAGCTGAGTATGTATATATATTCTTCCCTCTTTGAACCATTGCCAGCCACCTCACCATTTTCCTTTCCACTATAAAAGCCCTTCCTTGTGCGCCATCTTTACATGAGAAAATTTGCCCCATTCTACCTCTCCCTTCCTCTTTCTCACTCTTTCAATCTTTTTTTTGGAGATCATCTCAACATAATCATTGGTCACAATCTCTTTTGGAGCAGAGACTGTTTCTTCTCCTTTTGCATTCAGGCTCTCTATATCCTGGTATGATGCCTTATAGGTATTTGTTGAGTAAATGGAGGTGTAGAAGGAAGCACAGTCATTCTCAGAGGTACTGAATAAATTTGACTTTGGAGAGTGGTGGGCTAGGGAGTAGAAGTAAGCTGTAGAATGGGTTGTCCTGATGACAGGGTGTGAATTATGGGGAGACAGACAGACATCACAGTGGGCCAGGCACTGTACAAAATGACAGGAAAACAAGGCAAACTAGAGTCTGTGCCCTTCAGGAGGGTACTTTATAATGGGGGAATACAAACCCTGGAGGGTTAGCGGTTGGAGGTGGCTGGGGAGAAGCCTGTGCTGAGACCTGGTTCTGGGCCAGTTCAGGTGGGAAAGCTTTTCTAGGAGAACCCACCTTCCAGGGTTCCTGGGAAGACAAAATCTCCTGGAACAGGTCTGTGGGAGGTGGACTGGTGAAAGCCACTGGTGCAAAAGACAGAGTAGTCAGAGTGATGGGTGGCAAAGGAAGCTTGGATGGCATAATTAGGGATCGGGCTGGACCCAGAGGGCCAAGTTCCTGGTGGTTAGTTTTACTTGAATACTACGAATCTGTGTTGTTCCTCACTACCTACCCAGGTAGAAAGTGAGTGGTCATGGGGCAGGAGGAAGAGAAGATTGTGCTGGATTTGGAGGCAGAGGACCTGGGTTCAAATCCTGGCTCTGGCAGGTACAGCCTGTGTGGCCTCAGTTTGCTCATGTGCTTGTCTACTTCTGGATGCTCCGAAGAGAGATGGGATCTGAGGAAGACGGCAGAGGGTAATGAGAACCAGCAAGTCAGGGAGGGAGGACAAGTGTTGGGAGAACAAGCCCTCCTTCACAAGCAGAAACAGGTTTGTTTTAGCCACAGAAACAAACATGTGATGCACTTTGGAGAAGAAAAAGATTCCATAATTCAGTTCAATTCTACAAATGTTTATTAATACCTACTATGTGCCAGGCCCTGGGGATACAGGAATAACAAATTCCTGCCCTCAGAAAGCTTATATTCTAAAGGAGTGATGGTGGTGGTGGAAAGGAACATATATATATATATATATATATATATATATATATATATATATATACACACATATATATATATATATATATATATATATATATATATATACACACACACAGATAAGTCAATTAAAAATATGTAAAAAGTTAATTAAAATTTTAGGGGGTGGTAGGGGAACCCCCTGACAGTTTGGAGCTTCAGGGAAAGCCCCTTTTGAGTAGGAACTGTTTCATTTATTGTCTTTGTACCCCCAGGGCACAGCACAAAGCTTGGTACATGGTAGGCACTTAATACCCATTTGATGAATTGTCCAGAAGTGATGCTTCAGCTGTGCCCAGAGGGATCCCCAGAGGTGGTGCTGAGAAGCATTTCGCTATGGAGACAGCCAGCCTGTGCAGAATGTGGGGGCGAGGGGACGTGGCCAGCATGGCGGGGCCTCGAGTGGTCCAGAGGGAATGGTGCAAGACAGTCTAAAAGGCTGGTTTCTGATGTGGTGAAGAGCTTGAAGTGCCCAAGGAGGCTACACCTTATCCACTGAGGTTTCTAGAGCCAGGGACTAACATAGTCTGCTCTGTACTTTAAAAATACCAAGTTGGCAGCTGCGTGGAGAATGGACTGGAGAGATTGAAGAATGTCATCCGAAAGGAAGCAATCCAGTAGACAAGAGAGATTGAATGTTAAAGAGAGGGAGCGGGCATTTATTAAGTGTTTACTGTGCCAAGCTCTGGGATACAAAACCAAAAGGAAAGTCCCTGCCTTCAAGGCGTTTCCATCCTAACTGGGAGACTGGAATGTGTGAAAATTGGTGGGAGTGGGAAGGGCAGCATTCCCAGGTAAAGTGGTGGCCACACCCAGAGTCACAAGTACAGCCAGGACAGGAATGAAGCCTGGCTGGCTTGGGCCTGGACCTGTTCCCAAAATGGCAGCCCCCGGAAGGATCTTCCTATGAGAGGAGCCTAGCATGGCAGAGGGACAGGCCAGGGTGAGAAGGCAGCTGGGGCATGAAGAATCAGAAGGAAGATGAGCAAAGGGACAGAGTCCTGGAACAAGCAGGAGGGGATTAGACGAAGCACACAGTGGAGGGGGGCGGCCTTGACAAGAAGCTATAACAGCTCTTAGAGACTTAGAGGGTCTGGATTTTGTCATCCTATGCACATAGGAGGTCTTAAAAGGGCCTAGCATGTAGCACTGAGGTGAGGAGGGGGGATGAGGATGGTGTTTGGGACCACACTGGAGTGAAGAGGGAGGTGCCAATGGATGGAGGTCTCAGTTTTCTTGGCAAAAGTGGGAATTCCAGGTTCTCTCCTGAGGTCAGGGATGGGGTGGTAGAGTCAGCAGCCAGACAACAAATTTTTAAAACGCCTATGGCAAATGAATATCCATTAAAAAGTGTGATATTGAAGACATTTCAGTCTTACTGTGCACGTAGTTATTAATATGCAGTTGTCTCACAGAAGTTCTCCCCAGTTATTTCTGACTTTTGGGAAGTTTGGAGTTTCTCAACAGTTAGCAGGTCAGTGTTAGCAATTACTCTGACTTTTCATAAAATAAGCTAATAAAAGTTAGATGTCAGTTGATCTTTGAATTCTCTCTCTCTCTCTCAATATGACTGTGTCGATGTTTTTATTTACAGCTTAAAATGGAAAAGGCTGCTAAGAAGAAAGGAGTGGGGGCCTTGCCATCCACAACATAACATTAAGGATGGAAGGAAGGGATCGACCGCCATGATGAATAAGTGTAACTACAGCAGATAGATACACTTCCTTGCTCTGTGGAATACTTGGCCTGCATTAAAGTACATCCTTAGCCTTTCTTTGGGCTCCTTTGTGGGAGTCAGGTTCCCTTTGCCAAAATGAACATGAGGTGGTGTGTACTTATCCTGGTCCCTCCCACCTACCTCTTTCTTTTTCACTTTGGGTTATACTCCTACATGAAAGGGTTAGGGGGCTGTCTAAAAGTAGAACAGAAAGTTTCTGTCATATCTTTGGACTAATCCTTTTCCCTCTCGGGAGAACAGATGCTGAAGTGGCAACGTGGCATTTCACGAGTATGTAAAGCTTCGCAGGTTTCATGTTCAGGGTAAAAAAAATCCAAACCTTATGGAAAATGTCTCCTAGGTTAGTTGAGTTAGAGTCCTTCATTCATTTATTATCATATTATATTACGTAGGAGTTTGCCATTTCTCTAAAGCCAATGTATATGCTAACATGTAATGGTCTTTAGGCACTTGAGTCCAAATTTCTCTGTCGCTGAGAAATGAGGGATGCAGACAGATGCAACCAGTAAGATGAAATAAATAACTGATCCTTAATGAAGATGTGTTCTTTCTGGTCGCAGAATCACGAGGCGGCCTAAATGTGCCCTTTGATTGTCCCCCTCATGTGCCCATCTGATTTTGAGGCCTGTTTGTGCTGGCAGGCTCTGAGGTTGCTGACAGCTTTTAGTAGAACATCAGACACATTTCAGATACCCATAGGGCTGGAGGGGTACAGCTTGGTTTCCAAGATCACAAGGAAGCCAATGGAAGTCTGCTGCCTCTTCCCTGGTGGGTAAGGCACAATCCTCCTGCATTAAGTTGGCATCAGATAGGTACAGCTCACAGATGAGGGAGATGGCAAAACTGAAGAGCAAACTTCCAAGCTGGAGAAAGAGAAGATTAAAAGTACATTTTGATAGTTAGATTTGCTGAGTGGAGCAAAAAGTTGTCTCTAAAATACATCACCAGTAACATATTGAGTGCTATTTCGTCCTGTCAGATTGTGGCCTTTTGGACCCTCTATGTGGGAGGCCTTCAGTCACTGGGAATGATGAGTCAGTTTTGTTTTGTTTTTTCAGCTCTTAGGCCTTTATATAGCTAGTGGGGAGTTGAACCTTCTTCAGTACATCTTACTGTTAGTTATGAGAAAATGACATGATAATAATGACTCACACTTACCTAGAGTTTTGAAGTTCAGAGAATGCTTTTCTCCTGACAACCTGGTGGGCCAAGAGGTTCGGTGATTTCTCTGAGGTCAGACAAGGAGAAAGTGAGGTGCTTGAAGGTGCTAAGCTTCTTCACCTTGGTCACTCTGACCTCAAATCAAGCTTTCCTTCTTCCTCTGCCTTGGCAAGAAAGCACTTTGGAACAGTAAAAGTAGCCGGGGAGAAGTAATAATGTATAACATAATTATAGTTAAACACTGATGTTATTCCGAGCTTTGCTACAATGATTTTTATCACATGCTTATTACTGTAAAAATGGAAGTATTTACCTTTTGACTAAAACTTTTTCAAATAAAAAATGATTTGGTTACTAGTTTAAATAGTAAAGAATTGTTTAATATGTTAAATTGCTGATTTTAATAGGGCCAGATGTATTTTTTCCTGTTAATAATAACATCTTTCTGTCACAGGGTAATTTTTCGGTAAGGAAAGCAAGGGAATCATTCACTGCAGCACTGAGCACGCCCAGCCTCCTTAATCCATTTTACCCCCAACGTCTGCTTCCAGACTGCCACACGTGGATTGCAAGGGCTTGCTTCTTGTACGCTCCTGGCCAGCGTCCAGTAGAAGTCAGTACTCAATACCCATCCGTCTGCATGTAGCTTATCGAGAGCGAGCGAGAGAGAGAGGGAGAGAGACAGGGACAGAGACAGGGACAGGGACAGAACCTGACTGTTAAGAAGAAGAATGCTAATGGCCAGCACTTATTCAGTGCTGTCACTGTGTGCCAGGTATGATGCCCAGCGGTTTATAAGTAGTATCTCATTTGATACTCATAACCACCCTGCATTTTATGACCCCCATTTTACACATGAGGAAACTGAGGCAAACAGATTAAGTGACTAGGGTCATACAGCTAGGAAGTGTACAAGAAATAAGCCCTTTGGCAAGTTCTGGAATGGGATAAATGGAAAGAAACTTAGTATTTGCTTTTACATAGCTTATCGGTCTCCCCTGATGTTCTCTGGTGCTTCCTGGTGGTCTGGAGGTGATTTATCTTTGGTAACAGAAGACTAGAGCGGTGGCAAGTTCTACCATGCTGGAAAAGCTTTAAGAAGGGTCCCAGCAGATTGTTTTCTAAGGATTCATTGACAAGGAAAAAGTAGACCATACTTCCTAAAAAGAAACAAAACAAAAACTTTTTTGTAGCATTTCTCTCTGGGCTACTCCTCCAACTTAACAATAACATTTGAGGGGTGGAACCACAAAAAGTTTCTGATCATCAGCCGGCAAAGGCCCTCTAGCACTCTCCTTCTAAAACTACAGTTCAGGAACCCCTACCATTGTGATTCGCATTAACAATCAGCAGCAGACTCAATTATCTCTTAGCTAGCAAGAACAGAATATTCCCTCCTCCCAACTCCAAATATACACTATGATGGCCATGGGGGTGAGTGGTTCAAATGGAAGGACTGCACGTGGCCAAAGCAACTCACAACTGCACAAGTCCAGAGCCCTTGGAGTCTGTAAGAGATTTATCACTGGGCGGGTTGTTCCCTTGGACTCCCTGGACCTGATTCTTAACGGGCAGATAGGGTTTCCATCTCCTCCAGCTTCAGACTGCAGTCCTCAGCTGGGGATGAATCCTTTAGCCTAGGACTGGCACAAGGCTTTCTCTCGTTGCCTCGTGATCTCACCTCCAAGGCTTTTTTTCAAGCAGGAAATGAAAGATCTAGGCCCTCTCCCATGAGAGCTCTTCATCTAACTGCTGTTGACCCTATAGAAGGCCTGCCAAATCTTTCTCTCCAGGCTAGACCCTAACTAGGGAATGGCAATTTGCTTTTATCACCTGTGGTCATCATCACACTGGTGGGGAGGGGTGTATGAAGTGGGGCTCTAGGCTTCACTGTTTCCCAGTTGTTTATTTTTTAAACTCTAAGGTTATCTCATTGGTTCATCCAAACACGTGGCTAAACACCCAGGGGCTTGGCACGTAGGAAATACTTAATAAATGCTTGTTGCTCATTGTTGGAGTTGGTGGGGGTGGGGGGAAATGCTCCTAAAAAACTATGTCCTTGGTGGGATTTGTCATGGGCTCTGCTGGCTTTTTCTTATTCAAACAAACCACTCAAAGCTTCAGTTCCTTTGCCAAGGGTAGAATGGAGCCCATGGCATCTGTACTAGGTTCAAAAGTGTGAGTGGGACCTAGAACTATCTACTTGCTTTGGAAAAGAGGATCACCTCCAACAGTGCCCTAATCTGATGGGGAGTGGGGTGGAGTAGATTTCAGGGCTCTGTAAACCTAGATAGGAAAAAATGTCTACTAATAAAATGATGCCTTTACCAATGTTTTTATTTTAATAGTGTTTTTTAAGAACTGGTTTTCATTTGATAAGATCTTGCAGATTATCTGATGTCATAATTTCATGAAGTTTTAGCTTTAAAACTTTAAATATGAATTTTTCTTACACAAACTTCCATTTCAAAATGAATACAAATCATCTATAACCTATCAAGTTGCTTGTCTTCTCAAGGAGGTGGGGCAGGATGGGAAGGAAGGAGAGAATTCGGAACTCAATTAAAAAAAAGAATCTTAAACTTCTTTACATGTAGTTGAGAAAAAAATAAGCCATATATAAAAATAAACTGTTGTTAGAAGTAACAGAGACACAAGTCCAATAGCAAAATAATTTTGACATTACAACAGAACTTGTCTTTCTCCAAAAAAAAAAGTGCAACTGTTCAAGGTCAATGTGTTAGATGAAACTAAAAGTAAAATGAGAATTTTCTTTTTTTAAGGAGGGGGTATTTTTTAAGGAGGGGGTATTTTTCTTCTTCGAGCCCTTCAAGCTCAAATATAATTTAATATTTGTGTGGCCCATAATGATTTTTTTGGGCTTTTTCAAGATTTCACCTCTGACCAAAACCACAGGGGGGACCACCAACTGGTTTAAGGAGCCAATATATGGCTTCTTGCAGCACTGGATCATAATTACATAGTGTGAAGGTTTTCTTTTCATTTTGGTGCTATTTACCTACCCTTCATCTCTTTCCTTCCTCTCACCAACCAGTTAAATTAAAGAAGTTAAATTAAAAATAAACCATCTTCAATGTAGGGGCAGCCAAGGTGGCAGGTTGGATAAAGTGTTATGCCTGAAGCCAAGACGACTCATCTTCCTGAGTTCAGACACTTACTAGCTGTGTGACATTGGGCAAGTCAATTAATTAAACCCAGTTTAACCTTAGTTCCTCATCAGTAAAAATGAGCTGGAGAAGGAAATGTCCAACCATTCCAGTACCTTTGCCAAGAAAACCCTAAATAGGGTCATGAAGAGTCAGACACCAATGAACAACACATTTTCAACGTGGTGAGGTTTCAATGGGCCTAAAGCATGTAAATCCACAGATATTCTACATGCTTCATTTTAGTTATGAGCTCATTCTACAGGCATTTAACCTTTATCAAATCTTTTAGCAAATATATTTAATTATAAGAGCCACCATTAGTCAGATCACCTGCAGGTTCCTAAAAGAACTAGCCAGCTTGAATCCAATTTAATCAAATCACTGATTGCTTTCCCGTGGGGTATGTGTGGCCCCTCCTTTTTAAACCAGTAACAAAATTCTACCTTTTTATTAAAAACAAAACACAACACCAAACCTTTTTCGAGAGCTGTGGATCAGTAACTAGAGAATGGGAGACAGCTCTCAGTTTTGGGCGTTTTAAAGCTCTTTAAATACATCATCCCATTTAAATGTCACAATCTGGCGACCCAGTTAGGTGAGGTTTTTGTTTATTTTTATTTATTTTTAACTTGGATTCTTCAACATAAAGAGTTTGTGAACTGGGCGAACCAGGACTTGAATTGAGGTCTTTTGGCCTCTTTTTATCCCCTGTGCTTTGCACTCGGTCCTCAATACGTGCTCTTTCCACTACAGCAGGTTTAGGTCTATCAGCTGTGTGACTGCACAGACCTAAAGATTCCTAGGTGTGGCGTCTAATGCAAACCCCAGCCTCTTGCGGTTTCGGAAGTGACAATAAAGAGTAAGAGTGTAGTAACCATGCTTGTTTTGGCCAGGATTCTATTAGTGTTGGGAATACCCAGGGCACCGACCACTTCAGATAATAAAGCAACTGTCTGGCAAACGTTAGACTTGCCTGGGTCCACTGGGATGGCTGGCTCGGTGTCACTTGGCTTCCAAGCGCTGGAGGCTGGGCTTGATCGCCAGGTCTTGCCTCCCAGGTCTGCTCTCTATGTAAAAACCAAGGGGGAAAAAAAAAAGATTAAATGTGCAAGAAGGGCATCGCGTTGGGCAAAGTGATCGCGGCAGCAATCCACAGGCTCGGGTGGGGGCATCTGGTACACTTGGCAACCGCGGGCCAGCGATGACATCTAGGTCGTGGAGGGCTACAGCCAAGGGCCCTCAGCCCCTGGAAAAGCCCGGGCTTTGCGGTGGGCTGTTGGGGTTAGTGATGGCAGGCTACTAGGTAGAGGGTCAGAAGAAGCAAGCGTGGGATGTGCAGCTCGCCAGAAGGAAAAGCAGCGACCAACGACGTGCCTCGGAGTGGCTGTGGAGGACGAGGTAAGGTGCTGGTCTCCCCGCCCCCCCCCCCCGGGTGCGCTGGGTGCTAATCCCCTCCTCCTCCATCACAGTGGCGATGTGGGGGTGGGGTGCGAGGCCCCTCCTATCCCATCACCCGCCGATGATCGACGTGAGGGTGCTAATCTCCTCCCACCCAGCACGGACGGGGAGATGCCAGGGGTGGGGTCGTTCGTCTCCTCCCCTCCTAGCGCGGTTTGTCCAAGCCCCTGGTGCGCCACGGGGAAAGCGTGGCCGCAAAGGCGGGGCTCGAGGCCGCGTCCGTCCATCCCACGCTCCCCTCGGCAGACCCACCGAGGCAGCGCAGCAGGACCAGCGTGGCGCTCCCCCGGCTCCGGCCCTCGCCTCCCTCCGGGCTCTGGCAATTATAAAAGCTATTATAAGAACCCTCCTCCGCGTGCCGCCCCGCCCCGCCCGCGCCCCCATGGCTACACCCCAAGCAGCCTCGCGCAGGGCGGGGCGGAGGGCCTCGCTGCCGCGCCACGTGCTCTTCCCGCGCCCCGACGGCTGGTCCGCAGTGCGCAGGCGCGGAGCGCGCCGCCTGGAAAACCGGCTGTGGTGGCGGCGCGCGAGGTGGGAGGAGCGGGGGCGGCGCGCGAGCTCCAGCGCGAGCCGACTAGGAGCGAGCGGGCGGCTGGACGCGGGGGGAGGGGGCGGCCTGTGGTGTGGTGTCCACGTCTGTGGGAGTGAGGGAGGGCGCGAGTGGGTGAGGAGCCCACTCCTCATCTGGACTGGCCGGGGCCGCTGCGAGCGGGGCGCTCCCCCTGGAGAGGTCGGTGATGGACCCTGGGTCTGCTGACCAAGGACCAGCCCAGCTAAGGGCCCAGAGGTTCGTGGCCGGGCGGCGCAGGATCCTTCGGCCCTCCCTCCCGCCGGCCTCAGTCTCCTTGTTTGCGCCGTGGGGGGGGGCGCTAGCGACTCTCCAAGGGCCCTGCCAGCCCCAGTCTTCTGTCACGCTTCCCCTCCCCGAGTCTCAGTTTCCCCATCTGTACAGTGAGGGGGATGAACGGGTATCACTGGTAAGGTCCTCAGGCCATCGTGCTGAGTTATCTTCTCCCTGGGCCTCCGTTTCCCCATCTGTGCGGTGAGGGGATGAATGGGCGTCACTGGTAAGGTCCTCCAGCCCTCTGTCGCCTTATGATTCTTTCCGCTGCCGTGGGCTTTCAGTTCACCTTCTGGTAGTTTTATGAGAAGGTCCTTGATAGGAGCAGTCCCAACCGCATCGGGATCACGTTTTGGGGGCTTCATGTGGAAGGAAGGAAGCTTTTCCACTTTTCCTGACTAGAGTAGAGTGGCTTTTTTAAAAGCATAAAGCAAAATATGTAATATTACAAAGGAAACCAGTTACGTTAATAGCCAGCATTTATATCTAGCACTTTGCTTTATGACGTATATGATTTTTATCCTCCAACGTGAGGAGGATCCCCGTTTTATGAGAGGATTTTATACAGATGAGGAAAGGGAGGCACACACTATTAAGTGCCTTAGGCATTATTCCTGACTCCGAGTCCACTGCTCTTTCTACTTATATAAATACCTTTATACTTACATACTGTTATAAAAATATTTTGTAAACAAAGTTCAGGGATTTGATGTTAAGAACTCTTGTTGTAGTCTGATTTCTGAACTGGTTGTCTTGGAGAAGATACTATGACCTGTTTGCCCAGTTTAGTTTTTAAAGATTTAAACTTTTCCTGGGCCCTACAGGTACTAGTGTAATAATTGGTGTGTGTGAGAGGCTTTGAAATGCAGTACTGCATTCAAAGCCTTTTCAGCCATTTTAAACTGCCTGTCAATGGAATGGTGTTTCATAGTCTTCAGCCTTTTGTTCTCAGTTCCAGAAAAATTAAGTAAAGTTTAGTTAGTTTAATTCTTTCTACTTATTGGAATATAGCATTGAGTGCTTGAAGCTTTGTGGGGATATTTTTGGGCATCTTTTTAGAGGCTTAAGGTGAGAGAATGCTTTCTCTGAAGTTGTAGTTTAAGCTGCCTCATTTTTAGTTTCTAAGAATTGTCGAAAATCGTCAATACTATTTTTAATTTGATGAGGATAAACTAATAAGAATGCTGATTTCTGTTTTTTTTTCTGATGAAGTAGTCGGTTTTTAGCCTTGTTTCCAGTATGAGGAAAACAGTTATATTTGAGGAAAAATTGAGGGTATTTGATCCTTTTTTGTAGTGGTTGTGTGATTTCAGAGTCTTTAATAATAAAGGCCCAAGCCATAGCAGTTCCATACTTTATTTTAAATATTTTACTTATGGCACTTTCAAAATTCTGATTTCTTTGTGAACCCCACCACCTATGATACCAGCTAGCTGCTTTTTCAGTAAGATTGCACATTTATGAAGTAGTTTTCAAAATATTCCTTACAACAGTCTGAGTGAGTTTAGGTAGTGGAAGCATTGTTATTCTCCAATCCAGGTGAGGAAATTCATGCTTGCAGAGGTTTCTCAGGGTCCTGTGTATCTAGCTAATAAGTAACAGAGGTGGGGACCTGCCTATCCAGGCTTTCTGGTGAGCAAGTCCAGGTTTTTTCCATTTCATCACTGTTTCTTTATTGCAGAAAAAGATGTCAAGTATCCATCTGGTAGTGTAATTGACCAGAATATAGTGTATCTCTGCTTTCCTATGGTAAACTTGAGTGTGAACCTTTAGCAAAATAAAAGATGACTTTAGTAATAGAGGCTGTGTCTTGTAAAGGAGCAGGAAACATTTGCATTGCCTACTTTGTCAAACAAGTCTTTGATCAAAGAGGGGAAAATCGTTGGTGCAGAAAAGTCATCTATTGTCTTGTGGCCTGGATTTCAGGAGCAGAGACCTACCTTTTTGCTAGTTCTGTCAGCTTTCCAAAATGACACCAAGGTGGGTGGGACTATAGTTGAAATAGAATATTCGGTGCTGAGGGTAGTTAAACATGGAGGAATTTCAGTCACCTTAGAGATCATGGGTTTGAATTCTGGCTCTGTTATTTATTACCTGTGTAATCTTTCGCAAGTCATGTACCTTCTCTAGGCCTCAGTTTTTTCATCTGTAAAATGAAAAGGTTGGTTTAGATTCCTAATGAGGTGTCTCTTCAGGGTCTCAATCTATGATCCTTACTATACTCATAAGGTATTGAATAATTTTAGTTTTTCAGGGGCTGTTGACATGGATGAAGATGTAACCTATAATAAAGGTACTGATAATACAAATTCTTGTGTTTAAGAGCAAGTTAATATTGAATCACTTCTAATTCTTTCCTGTCGTTTTGGTTTTAGTTGAGGATGTGGTTGGAAGTCATGTGGAAGATGCAGTCACATTTTGGGCACAGGTAAAAAATACTATATGGATGCTGAAGGCATATTTTGTGTAAACAAAAATATGAGGTCACTCATTATCTTCAACTACCAACTTAGAGCAGTGTTAAAGACAAATGGTATATATTGGCTTCTGATTTGAATAGCACAGCGCACACAAAATCTTGTGTTTGGGCTAAAAGAATGGGCTTTACAGTCACGAGTAGGAGTGGGGGAATCATGGCTACATAGGAGTTTGACAGAGGTTTGGAGGTTTTAGTGGACCTTAAACTCATATGAGTTAGCAGTGTGATTTGGCAGCCTGCCAAGTGAATGCATTCTTTGGTTCAATGTGTGGGACGGCAGAGGAGGTGTTCTGATTGAATTGTATCTATTCAGACCGCATCAGAAACATTCTGATTTAGTTTTGGATTTTATTTTGAAAGGCCTTGCATTCATGCTATATAATAGTTGGTTGAAGAAACTAGAGATGTTTAGTCTGGAGAAGAGAAGACTTGGGGGGAGGAAGGCTTAGGACATGGTAGCTGTCTTCAAGTATCTGATGGGATGTCAGGAATAAAAGATTAGATTAGACTTGTTCTGTTTATTATTACATACTGCCACAGATTGCTTCTATAACTTGGTAGAACCCAGGGTCACCTTTAGAGTTCTCTAAAGATAACTAGAAATAATACATGGATGGTGTAAAGAAAGCAATTTATTCCTGAAGTAAGGGAATATTTTCTGTTAGAGATATTTCAAAGTGTAATGGAATAGAGTGAGCATCTCCTTATTTTCAAGCAAAGGTTAGATGGCCATGTGTTGAAGATGTTGTACAGGGGATTTTTGTTGGATAGAGATGATACAGTGATAGTGATAGAATGTTAACTGAACTAGAAGCCTTGAGTTCCCTGTTGGTTTGGAACTGATGAGATTTGGAATTTGGAATTGCTGAGCAGCAAGGAATGCACAATTCTGGTAGTGTTTCTTTACCAGGAGATTGCATTCCAGGCATCCCTAAGAGCCAGAAAGGGGCTTTCTTAATCCTCAGAATTTTATCTTAAAATTGATGTCTTCGAGGAGCTTAATGAATAGGACATTAATGGTTTTGACTTGATGTGACTTGAGGCATTTCTAAGAAATAGCCTTTTCATCCACATCCTGTGGAATGTCCTGTTGAGAGGTGGGAAAACTTCTGCTCATCACTGCAAAGAAATTGGGTCTGTTATTTAAACCCCCAAGTGTTCAAAGAACAAGTTGTTTTTTTTTTTTTGTTTTTGGTTATGGTCTCCTTGCCATGCCTCATGGTGACATGGAGATGATATGGTTTCTCAGAGTTCAGGTGCAAGGTATATAGGGCCTGGCAGGTCTTATCTCAAAGCAAAGTCTTAAAAATGTGGGTCAGGCAGCCAGCCACCTGTGATCTGAGGGCTAGACTGACTCAGTTTGGAGGGGCTGGTCACTAAGTTCCCTGTGGGAGAGGGATAGAATATTTTTGACTACAGCAAATCAGGAATACTGTTTACTGAGTTGTAGAAGCAATCTTTGGCAGTGTGGGGGAATGCCCATGCCAATGAAATTGTGAATTCTAGAGAAAAATTGTTTACAAATTGTCACAGTACTTTAATGTGGCAGAAAATAAAATGTCAACACAAACCTGTTGGATTATAGTTAACACATTTATCTCTTGCTTTTCCTCCTTCCCTTTGATTCCATGCCATTTATCCTTTCTTAGAGTATCAATAGAAATCGTGATATTGTGAAGATAGGTTGTGCTCTGGCTGAAGTTTGTCCCCAGTCCAATTCAGTTTTTGGGAATCTGGACCTAAATAAGGTGAGCCATTCTTTGGTGTAATTATTCCATTCATTCTTTATACTCTTATTTTTCCTCTTTTTGTCCGAATTTGAGATCATGTTTTCTGAATTTCTAGAGTTTATAGTACGTTTTTGATATTTGGTAAAAAATCTATGTTCAGACCCATATGAACTGCAATTCTAGTAAATTTACACAGCTCTAAAAGTCACATTATAAATGCTCAAATATGATTTGAGGATATGATTTAGAATATCCTAAAGGAGGGTGTGGTCTGACTAGGAACTCTCACCATGTATATACTTGGTTGGATGTAATCTCAGTGATAACGTGTTCTCCTTCCTAGCAATGTAGAGGTCAGCCCATATGTCTAAGTGAGTGAAAATGAAGGGTGTTTTGAGTTGACTACTTTGTAGCTTCATTGCCATGCCCAACAAAAACAAACAAGAAAACTCTGGGGGTAGTTTCATTGACTCGGGCTTCTCCCACTCTGAAGTTATGTAAGGAGAGGCCCAAGTCTGGTGTCTCGACCAGGGTTAGGTTCCCCTTAACCAACTACTTTGGATGCTCTCAAAACTGAAAAAAAAAATCCAATTAAACATGTATTAAGTGCCTACTATTTTCGAGGCAAAAGTGG